AAATCCTATTTAACCTACTTAATGTTAAAACCTACTCTTGGCTGATTAAGAAAAATAAATAAATAAACAAATAAACAAACAAACAAATAGATAAATAGTATTGCATGGTACGCATATCATTCCGAAAAAGAAAGCCAAACAAGAAAGAACAAGAACGAACTACACAGTGCTAGCGTGTAACGTGGTTAAAACGTTTTAGGTGAAATTTGTCTCGAAACGCCTCGGATATGTTTTTAAACTTAAAGCTTTCGTGTGACGTCTACCAGACGATTATATCGACCTTTTTGGAGCTTGTGATTACGTGGGTAGCAGAAAAATCGTTATGTAAATAAACGATAAAACTTAGCAACAAACTGTTCAAGATAAAATCAACACTTACTACTTCACACTTAATATACAAAACTGGCACTTAATTAATTGGCCTTTTACCTTTTTACGTCTTTCTTCGTCATCATCGTCGTATTCTACTTCGCTAAAATCTTTCATATCACAAGAACTGTTGAGTTTGATTAAGCCAGGAATTCTAGACAAGGCCGTCTTGGAGCCTGACCTCGAGCGCGCAGAAAGCACCTCTGTAGACGATCCCAAACTTGGATTTCTACTCCTATTTGAAGCTGCTGAGTTCGTACGTCTTCGCGATCGTCTTCCATAAAAACTCGAGTAGAATTCTTTATTTTCTTCGTTGTTTTGCTTGGAATTTTTTCCAAAAGAAATCTCTGTGCCAAGCACTTGGAAATGGTTCTTTCCGTTCTTGTTAAATTTACCGGTGAGCGAGACAGTCTTTGGTCGTAGTAACGGTATACTGGATGTCCTCAATCTCTGTTTTGATTCATAATCAACTGTTACACAACTTGATGGTCTTGTTCTTTCAAATCTAACCACATTTTCTAACTCTGAAGAATCTGCTTTTACAGTTCTTTTAGATTTTGTATTACTTCTTGAGGGTAGCGAATGAAAAGTTTTGGATCGTTTATGAAGAAGCCTTTCACGGGTCAGAGACAGACGCTTTTCGCCATCTGAAGTGCCATCGTCATCTTTAAGCTCCATATCCTTAGAATTAGAAATCTCGGGATTTCAAAAAGTCATTTCTTAATCCAAACGCACATGTCTTGAACTAAAGTAGAATTCACAAAAGATTTACATCAGTGTTGAAACTTGTTCCTCTTTAATGCTAAACCATCTCAAGTTTCTAGAGTTTATGATTAAATAGTACATAAGCCATCAGTAAACAAAGCAATGTCAAATATTACTTAACGCGGCTCGGATAATCCATGAAATGGAAATTTTGAACAAGACTCATTGTTCCATGGTTTTTTATGTGAATTTAAATAACTCACAGAAAATACCCTAGAGCTAATTAAGAATAATAATTCTTTGATAAAGAGTTATTAAGAAGTCTACTTCTGATTGGTCGACGAAGAATGTGTATTGTAATGGTCAATAAGGGGTCTACAGTTAGCGATTGTTCATGCGACGCACGTCTCTTTGTTATATTTTTTGAATAGGGAAGACGTCAAAGCATCATTAAGCGAGAAAGCGACTTTATTCTATAAGTGAATTCTTTTTTGTTTGCCTTATGACAAAAGATTCACTTTTTACGCCTTCAAATGACACGTTTTGTATTCAATAATCTCTTTTAGGCACGCTATTAAAGCGTACGAAAAAACGTTTTTTATATGCGGAATTGATGCAATGCATTCTAACGGTACTCCTCGCGGTTTCTTAGTTCAAACCCTGGGTCGCTGATGTTTTCTCTTGTTGCTACAGTTTTTGCGGATTCTTTTTGAATCCTTGCTTCCTTTTTTCTTTGCTTGCTTTCTTGCTTCCTTCGTTCGTTATCGCGTTCCTTCCTTCCTTCCTTAGTTCACTCAACTTTTTTTGCACATCGTTTTTCCTTTGCTTGCTTGCTCTGATTGCTTGCTTGCTCTGATTGCTTGCTTCCTTGCTTCCTTGCTTCCTTGCTTCCTTGCTTCCTT